AGCGCGAGCGCGAGGCGTTGCGGCTGCGTCTGCGCATTGACACAGACACGAGCGCGCTCTAGTCACATACACACACACACACACAGAGTGAAGATAAAGATTATTCATTCCCAGTGGACGACTTTTGAAAAAAAAATTTTCATCCTTTACTGTTTGATTTTTAACAAAACAATGTGATAACAGTCTAAAGAGAAGCCATACATTCATAACAAACGCCAAAAAATACATTCTTAATTGTATATGAAATAAAGTTTGTTTCTCAAAAATTATTTATTTACACATATATATTATGAATAATGATCTAACAAAACATTTATTGATGTAAAGTCGTCCACTGTCAGTTACCCTCAGCTCAGTCTCAGTGACTATTTCAATTCCATTCGTCAATATTTCCGTGGCTGTCTTAATTATGTTGATTGTGTAATCTCATAGTGAAAATCATTTTTGAACGATTTATTATATTTAGTAATCATCATTGATTTATAAAGCTTTTGTAAAGACATAATAAGATTTGTTTAGACACCGAGCTTTGAAAGATACCTTCAAAAACACATCAAAAACAGATAAATAAAGTGTATGTAACTAAAAGGAAGGCCTATATTTATTATTTTTAGTAATTTACTGTCATAATTTCAAACGTTTAATTATCCATAAATTGTTGGTCTCATTTAATTTGTTCTGAACGTTTTTTTGCGGTTATTTTGTTATAAATGTGCGAAAGTGAATATTTTTTTTTTACTATAGTTGGATTTGTTTAAGGAATTTTACAAAGCTCGGTGTTATAATTAAACGAACCTTTATAATAAAAAGAGGCTAAAATTAACTCACGAACAATATCGTTGCGATCACGTTATACATTTTGTCTCTGATCCTATCTTAAAAACACTGTAATTGCGTTAAAATCTGTAAACTTTAATGTTTGAAGAATCATCATACAATTTAGTCGAAAACCAAGATACAAAGCTATTTATTTAAATATTGAAACTACCTCAAAATTAAAAACAAATAACCCGAATATTTTCAGAGCGTGCTTAAATCGATTAAATGTTCGATGACGTAAAGTACATTTTGTTGTAGCCGATTGTAGTTATTTAAATTAGTGAAAAAAAAAAGTTTTTTGTCTTGATGGATGTAGCGCTAATCGGTGTTTAAACTGGCTTTGAATAGATCGACAAAGAATATTTTCTACTTTCATTGTGTGATACCCGCCATTGATTTTTGACATTCGCGCAAATGACAAGAGCTATCTTCTTTCTCTTTCACACCCAAAGCTCTTGTAATACGTTTATCTCGCTTCAACTAAAGGAAATAAAATCGTTAGGAGCTTCTGCCTCAAATTAATGGCGGGTACTATAATTATAAAATCTATTTTATAATACAAATACTAATAATTTATTTTCCGTCTCGGTTCCAATCGGAAATATTAGAATCATTTACGTATTTTTATACATCCGTGCAATATATTATAATAATATGCAATTATTTTTGATGAGTCCAATCGTAACCAATGTTAAAAGAAAAATGGCGCTTGAAATGCTTGCATTGCATTCCTTATTTAATTTGTAATATGCTATATGTGGTAAATAATATATATTTAGGAGTACCAACGGACAGAAGTGTCATTGTGAATGTTGTATATTATATATTAGAAATATTATTGTATAAAAAAACATGTAAAAGCTAAAAGCAAAAGACAAAGATTTGAAGTACATCTCGAGTTGGAGGATAGAGTAACGAGATTGTTTTCAAATATTGAATTACAGATTAAGTAATAGAGATGAGGAGATGTGAAAACATGTATTATATAAGATTATTGTAAAAGTATTTATCATTTATTTTAGTTGTTAATTTAATGTTTATTTTGTTGTGATTTCGAGCTAGCTTGTCGCGGGCGCTGGCTCGCCTCGCCCGCCTCGCCCGCCTCCACACTTGATCTGTCAATGCTTGACACACTGATCATTTCGGTCCAATTTTTGTAATACTAACATTCACCATTGTATTTACCTATTTATGTTTCATAAAAAAATATACAGTAATGCATATTATTGTAGCAACTATGTACAATAAACTTATTTCAAAAGTCAAATTGTTTTTAAATGATTTCTCTACGTTTTTAAAATCAACAAAATACTGAACCGAATCAATAATTATATTTAGTTAAATAACTATAAATAGTTCAGTAAACAAGCCGTGGCGTTGATATTATCTGTCCTACATTAACCGTCTTTTATCTGCAATACTTGATATCTAAAAATCGATATTTTGATAAATCGAGTGATATAACAATAATCAGATAGCAGATAGTATCAGCGAGTTTTTATGCGATACGTTTATATTTTATTAGAGACGCAAAACACTACGTCGGAGGTGATTTGTAGTTATTAGCGTTAAATAATTAGTGGGTAATCTAATAAAAACATTTATTCTATATACGCTTTAGGACAAACATGACCGATGACACGATCGCCGCGGTGTGATACAGCCTTTATGCGATAACAAGTATTGAACATATCCGGAGGCTGCGAAGACAATCGTCCACTTAACGAGGATCTCGGTCTCGCTGGACATCGGACAGCGTCCGCGGCCGGACACCACGACAACCAAATTCCCTCCCTTTCCCTCCGAAGCCGACACAACAAGCACCGCGCGCCTACCTGCGGCCCGCGGGCCCTTTTGTTAGGATCAGAGGGGTCTCCCCGCTCCGCACCTCAATACAACAACACCAGTCGTCTCACGTTTCTCGTTACGTATAGACGTTCGCGCCGGTTTAGTCGCGTTCGCGCGTAAGTTATTACGATTACGATGAAACTTTTAGTTAGTTAGATAGTAAACATCAAAATGAAGTGCATTAACCTTTTTATTTTATTGGTGACGCTCGTTATCGGAGCCAGCTCGGAAGCTTCAGTGAGGACATGTGAACCTATCAAAGTTGCGATGTGCAAGAACATCGGTTACAACCAGACCGGCATGCCGAACCTGGCTCGGCACACGCTGCAAGTGGAAGCCGACGTTACGCTCCAGACCTACAGCCCCCTGGTGCAGTACGGCTGCTCCTCACAGCTTCATCTGTTCCTCTGTTCCGTTTACGTTCCAATGTGTACCGATAAGGTCGCGTTGCCAATCGGACCATGTAGGGGGCTCTGTGAGAGCGTTTACGCAAGATGTTATCCCGTTCTAAGAGGGTTTGGATTTCCTTGGCCGTCGGAGCTCGATTGTTCGTTGTTCCCGGCGGAAAACAACCACGAACATATGTGCATGGAGGGCCCGGGGGAGCGGGTGCCGCCGGCGGGTCCAATACCTCTGGATACCGCGGCGACGAGCGGGCGCGGCGCGTGTCGGCGGCTGGTGAAGCCGAGCAGCTGGGTGTGGGTGCGCGGGTCAGCGCGGTGCGCACAGTTCTGCGACGCGGAGGTGCTGTGGGAGGCGGGAGAGCGGCGCGCGGCGGAGGTATGGCTGGCAACGTGGGCCGCGCTCAGCTTCGCGTGCACGTTGGCGGCGGTGGGCGCGCAGCTGGCGTGCGGCGCGGCCAGCAGGGCGGGCGGCGCGGGCGAGCGCGCGCTGGTGCTGGTGGCGCTGTGCCGATGCGCGGCCGCGGCAGGCTGGGGAGTGCGCGCGGCGGCCGGCCGGTCCGCCGCGGGCTGCGCCAAGGACTCCATGTCTCCCACCCGCATGCTACTGGCTCATGATGGACTGGCGAATCCAAATTGCGCTGTCGTATTCCTGCTCCTGTATTATTTTGGATTGGCTGCATCTGTTTGGTAAGCAGACTACTAAGTTTTGAACATCTAATATTTATTGAAATTTCACTATAGTCCAGTAAATCAGCTATTCTACTTTAGTACCTTTTATAGCAAAAGCTACTATACTTTAGGTATAAGCTACATTGTATAGGTGTTTGAATAATACCACTTTGAAGTCACACAATAACATTGCTAAAGTTAAAGGTACAGAAGAAGTGAAAACAAAAGAATTGCAAACCTTACCTGTTCAGAATTAACACAATAGTTTGCGTCTCTACCTGCTATCTTTTCTTCTGTTAGGTACTAACTTAAGCCTTACTTTTGTCACTTATCAATTATTATTTGTCACTCAGTCTTTGTGCACAACAAAAAAACGCAAGTTATTGTAGAAGTTCAACTACTCGTATCCACGTAATATTGATACTGTTTTCGTTTAGGGTGAGTCTTACATAAGTCACGATTAAGTATGTAAAAGACATAGAAACAGATACAAATAAAAAAATGAGATTAGATCATATTAATAATTTATATTGCTATTCAGATTTGAACTTGTACTCGACTTGAAACCTATAAGTAAAATTCATTACATGAAACTATCGATCTTAAAAGATAAAATTATTTATCTGATACAACTAAGGAGTTAAATTAAATTGTAAGTTATTGTATTTGTATGTACTATTGCCACTCTGTTGTATTGTTCGTAGAGAAATAAACTACGTTTTAATATTAGAAATGAGGAACTGTTTTAATAGCGCTGTTACATTCCGTGTTTAGGTTTGTTACTTTGTTTCGTACGTGTACGTAATAACATTTCCGGAACGCTAGTAAAATGTAGTTATTTCTATAATTTAAGGAATTATCGATATTGACTTCGCTGTCTAAAATTTTGAAATTGACAAAAAACATTTTATAAAATCAGTCTACCCCGACTGCAAGAATCATCACGAAAGTTTCCTTAATAAACAGTTATGGAAAGGAACAAAACGCCACGTCTATTTTTTTCTCCTATTACGTGGGACGACGAAATAAATCATGTCCGTTCCACGAATCGTGCTTCGTTAAGAATGTAAGAAGACGCCATAAAATATAAGCTATTGAGACACAAGATTAACGAGGCCCTATACATTACAACGAAAGCATTTATGTTGTTGACAATAAACTTAAATAAGAGGTGTGTAGAAATCCTTTTATTATATACTAGTATAATACTATACTAGCTGTTGCTCGCGACTATGTTCACGTAAAAATAAGAAATAATAAAAAAAACATAGCCTATGTTACTCATTAAAAACGTAGCTTCTAAATGGTAAAAGAATTTTCGAAATCGGTAGTTTTGAGGTATTTCAATACATACAAAAATCACTAACACAAATCTTTTCTGTTTATAAAATTAGTATAGACTAGCTGTTGCTCTCGACATCGTCTGCGTCAAATTAAAAAAAAAAAAACTAAATATAGCCCATGTTACACACTGATATCTTAGCTTCTGAATGGCGAAAAAATTTTTGAAATCCCGGTAATTTTTGAGTTATTTCAATACATAAAAAAATACAAATCTTATCTCTTTATAATATTAGTATAGATTTTATTGGACGAAATGAATTCGTCTTTATATTTCAAGAAAATCATCATATGAGAATTGAAAAAGATATTGTTTAATAATCGCGTAAATGTTTTATGCAAAAATTACAAATGCAATAAATCTTCGATATTCCATTAAGAGCCACAGATATATCTATCTAAGAATGAGCATTTAAGAGTTTTGTTTAGAAACATCATTTGTGAGATGATCTCGAGGAAATGCGTCATCTCCACAATTTTAGAATACTGGATTTAGATCGTGGCGTGGATTTATGTTCAACTTTGATTCCAGCGACAACGACCGATGTTTTAATATCGATTTAATTTTTACAAACTCTATTTGGTTTTATAATTAATCGACATATTAGTCGTGTGTCGTATTAATTCGAAATATCGCTGAATTTAAAGGCGATACGAACTAGGACAGGTTTGTATTTAGCTAGTTTTATTAATGTAAATGTTTTATCCATACTAATATTATAATCATAAAGAAGAAAGATTTTTATTTTTGGATGTTTGTGAGTATTGAAATAACACAAAAACTACTGAACCGATTTCAAAAATTCTTACACCATTAAAAAGTTATATACATAGACTACATTTTGATTATATTTTAAATTCACGCAGAGGAAGTCGCGAGCTACAACTAGTGTTTTATAATTTAAAAGCCTTAATTGGATTTTCTATAAAAGGAAAAAAAGTGTTATAGATAATTTATTACGGAAGCTGTAAGAAATTGTATAAATCTTCAACGCTTTCATTTCGCAATTGTATTTCTTATCTGGAGCACTCGATAAATAAAATTCGAATTGCATTCCCTGGTACTTAAAAACTTTGCATTTCTCAAATCCCCTCGAGACAGCAAGAACGTCGTTAATAGTTTTCCGAAGAGTCGTTCATTTTGCGACATATAAATGGTTTCCACAGAATATAAAATTATTAATATCAAACGTTTACATAACCTATATTTAAATGTGCAATAATTAGAACCACACGTATGTATAAATATAATATCGTTTGAAATTGATAATAATCGATCGTATTTTTAACGAATTTCGATTACCAATACATATTTAGCAAAAATTACAGAGAAATAACCTAAAATCTATAACGATTTGTCACACTAAGGGCCTGACCTACCAAATTCAAATTGTCTAATAATCCAACGTGTAAAATATGTGATGGAAATATCGGATTTTGTTATTTTATCTAACAGTGACGTCATTTTTAAGCTATCTGAGTCTCTATCAGCTAATGTTGGGATAGGCCCTTAGGATCCACTGAATTTATAGAATATCACATTTGTCTGCGTACTTAAGGCTTAACACATGCACATCTTACAAGATGTCAGTCGTGCTAAAAACCAGGCCTTTACTTCAAACATATTATCCTTAAATTGAACCTTATTACAAGGGAATAAAGTATCCCATACTGAAGTATAGTTTGTGAATCAGAGAAGTGGTTATGAAGCAAAAACTCGCTGCGTTGCATTTGTACATAAAAGTTTGTATAAGTTGACGTATCCCATCGATGCCATAAATCGAATCGGTTGCTGCAACTTTTTAAGTGATTTGAAATATTAAGTGAATTGTTGCTTTGAAGTAGGTGATTCCAGTATTGTGAAGTTACAAATATGTTTGTTAAAATATTGGGAAAAAGAAGCCTACGCCTATTCTGTTCAAAATTGGAGTATTTATTATAACATGAATTTAACATGCTATTCTTCGTAATATAGAGTTCGACCACAAGAACGGACCATCCTATTGTTACATTTGAAATACCAACAACTGTTAGGTATTACCCGTTAGAGCGTGAAAGAATCTGCCAATCATCAGTCATTTAGTTAACCGACTCTTACTCGATTTAAATGTTTCATTAAACCAGTTAAAAGCGTTAACACAACTGCTGCATTTTTTTAATTTTCGTTTCTTGTTTCTCTTGCATTTCATCTACTAATATAATAAGGAGGAAAGATTTGTATTTTTATAAGTATTGAAATAACTCAAAAACTACTAGACCGATTTCAAAAATTCTTGCATCATTAAAAAGCTATATTATCACTGAGTAACATAGCCTATACATTTACTATTATTTTTAATTTCATGCGGGCGAAGTTGCGATCAACAACTAGATAATGATATAGAGCAGCGCGTTATAAAACTTGACATACATTTGTTGCCAGTAAAGTTATTGTCTACCCTTAAAGCTTTAAATACATAAATGTTTTTTATTTATGAATCCATTACAATTGATTCTTATAAAAACTGTATACTGTAGCCTGTAGCCGATTGCATTATTGGTGAATTGTTAATAATTTCGACATATAATCATAAAGTTTACGACTGCACTTATCCGTTAATCACCTGCCATAGTTTACTTTTTGGAATATTTTAGCGGACTTCTCGAACAACACCCAATTAATTTTGTGAACGGTCAAAAGCGGAGCGAAGCGACGCGCGCGCCTCGCAGCGGAAACTTGTATAAATCCCAGTTTATGGCGGACGTTATTAATTTCTTAGAAAGCCAGAATTTTTGTTACAAAACCGACTCGTTATGATAATTTCACGTAGATTTATGTTACGCCGGTGCTCTTTGATAGCGTATCTGATGGGCCCTCTGACAGATATTAATGCGTAGTGTTGATAGTAATAATGCGCCTTGTTTATCTGTGCTTTGTATTTCGATCTGCTCGACGGAAAACATTTAAAATAATAAAAGGGAGCAGTGGAAGCGTTCCGTTCCACGCTATTGGGTACGCGTACATTTTAGTTGGTTTAAATATACATCAATCATCGTAATCAAGTCTGAAAGGCAATATCGTTTGTGAAATAGAATTTCAACGTAATAGTTAAATGGAAAACTCTAGTTTTTATTTTCAAGGAGCTAATAGAAAGCATTTACGCCATAAATATTTAATTACAGTCGCCTTTCTTGTAACCTCTAAAACTGATGCTACCAAAATAAATACATTATTCCGTTAGCGTTTATTAACATTTAGCTATTAAGAAATGTTGACAGTTAAAAAAGTTTCAATTTAAATACCAATAAGATACGAAGCTCGAGTGGATGCTTAAACTAGATCTATTAACATAATAACACATCGCTCTCTATAGAACTAGTATGGAGGCATGTTGCGGTCTCGGAGATGTGCTGTAATGGGAAACGTCCAAATTGGTTTTGTATTCATGCGCTGAATGCGTCTGTCGGAACGTGAGGTCATTCCCGTTACGGTCTTACTGAGCAGTATGATTTTATTTCTTTGTTACTCTGCATTTTTACTGCTGAAACATTCGTATAGGTTATATATTGTCATCCCATTCAATCTTAATGATAAAAGAAAGAGACGGAACTACACGTTTTGGTTATTTAATTAGTTACTTCTATACTTGGGCAATTAAAATGTATTTAATTAGCTACAAGTTTTGTAAAATATGAAT